CCAGGGGGGTCGCGGCACAGTGGTGACGTGGCATAGTTGGATCAAGTATAATGATATCTGACAGTGATTAANTTTTTACTCTATTTGTGTGTGCTACTACCAGTCTATAACATTCCAAATTTTTTCGTAACATGTTATGCATAAATCATAAATCTAAAAAAACCCAGCACAGGGGTGTTGCGGCTCAGTGATGACGTGGCATAGTTGGATTAAGTATAATGATATCTGACAGTGATTAAAATCACTATCAAAATAAAACGCTTCGATGCAAATCTTTAGATAGTGTTTAATTTTAAAAAATTGGTGTATTATTCCAAAAGCTACATGATCTGCTAGTTCCTTATTAATATCCTGATAAGATAAAGTATGTCGAATGAAAAAGGGATTATTAAAAAATATTATTTCTCATAAAAAAATTATATTGATCCATGCATTTTATCAAAAAGTTATAGCATAATAAAGTAAAAAATCCAGCCCAGGGGGGTCGCGGCACAGTGGTGACGTGGCATAGTTGGATCAAGTATAATGATATCTGACAGTGATTAAAATCACTATCAAAATAAAAGGCTTCGATGCAAATCTTTAGATAGTGTTTAATTTTAAAAAATTGGTGTATTATTCCAAAAGCTTCATGATCTGCTAGTTCCATATTAATATCCTGATAAGATAAAGTATGTCGAATGAAAAAGGGATTATTAAAAAATATTATTTCTCATAAAAAAATCCATACATTTTCCAAAAAGTAATAGCATTACTAAGTTAAAAATATAAAAAAGATTTATTTTACAAAAATCGTAATTTTATTTAAAATTTAAATCGTTTTCGTAAATAATTATATTGACTATATGAAGAATAGTATAAATCGTATACGTAGTGCATTTAATACTAGAATCAACATTGCATTACATAAAACGTAAGGTTAGTACAATTTAACCTATGCTTTCGAACCTCCAACAAAATATTGCATAATAAACCATTAATAAAATTAAATGAAAATTAAACAGGAGAATTAATAAATTAATATTAGAAATTATTAATGAAAAAATATTAACCATTAAATAAAAATTAATAAACAAGTTAATAAATTACATAAGTTTAAAAATAATTTTGAATTCTATATTCCTCTTTTACTATACCTATATTTTTATTTTCTTTAATTTTTCTTTTTCTTTTTAGTTTATTACACATTATCGAGGTCTATTACTATGTTTCTGGATCAACGTGTTTATAGTATTAATTTTTGATAATAGTTGGGTAAAACATGTTTACTAGAACGTTTTACGCAAATTTTGAATAATATTGAATAAAATATGTTATTTCTTTTCATGAGTTATAGTATGCTATAAATTACAAGTTTCAAAATAAATGTATTTTTTTTCTGACTTTAGCTTACAAGAATACTATTCCATAGATATTGAATCAAATTTTTTGATGTAGATGTCTCTATACAATTTATGTTCATATAATTCGTGTATTTTAAAAATTGTAATATAAATTACCACATTTATAAAAACAAAATCATTATCCTAATGAATAAAAACATGTTCATATTAGTGAATATTTAAGTTTTTCAATATCATAAAAGCATTTAATGATATCTCACACTATATTCAATAGTATAATAAAATATATATAATTTGAATGCTAGAGTGCGTCTTTATTTATTTGAAGTATATAAAAATAAAATACTTTTCAATGACCTTATTCTTAAATTTCTTTACTTCATTTTAGTTTTAATATTATGTTTAAATAGTTATGGTTTTCTGAACTATAATTTTTGTGTTTCTATAGGAGACTTCATGATAATTCCACTCTTGCAGTATCGTTTTTTCAATGATACGTTAAATGTTATAGTAGGTATAATAAAGTATAGTATTGTATAGTAAATAGATTTTTTGTTATTACTCAGAAGATTGATTGGTTTGCCAACTAAAGTTGAACTAATCTATACTAAAGAAAAAGTTTATTGCGATGGTAATCTATTACCTGCTGCATTGGGGACATGGTGTTTTAAGTAGCAGTAAGAACTCTCGTGTAGTAGTTATTCATATCAATTTTTTTTAAATTTTTTATAAAATTCCAAAAAAGCAAATTCCTGTAATCTTACATTAAATTAATTAAAAATATATACTCTAAGATGGAAAATAAAAAAATTTTGAGTTTTATTTCTCTGAATTTTTTTGACCATGTAAGTCAAAATTTTATAAAACGGAAAATCATAAATTTCCAGTAAAATGTCCGGTTTTGTAGTTTTTTGAATAATTTGTCAAAAAAAGCGAATTGAAGGGATCAAAAAAAAAGAATTATTGAACTATTAATTATTGTAGTTTTTCTTTAATCAAGCAATATATTTCCTTTATAAAAATTGATAATTCTCAATAAATTCTGAAATTATGAGTTTTTTATTATTACTTGATCACCCTTTATATTATGTATTATTATTTATACATTATATTTTCTCTATAGTTAATTAATTGTAATTACCACATTAATGTTATTCTAATATCATATTCCGGTTAGAATATGATATATTCGAATAGAATATATTAAAATACTTCTAAGTATCATATTAATAGCTTACCAATTTCATGTTTTTCGGATACTTGTACAACAAAAACAAAAAGATATGATTCAATACGAATCGTCAATAAGTATACTACACCATTTTTGTCTTCTCAAATATTAATTCAGAGTACTGAAATTAAAATCTTATCTAATTTAATTTTTTTAACTGGAAGCATGCATATACAGGGTGGCCCACTACTCACTGACAACTTAAATAACTTTTGATCCAGTTAATTTTTTTAGCTGATTTTTTTTTTTTAAATAATAGTTATACGTTAGGTCTATAGCTATATCTCAATAATTAATTTTTTTACATTTTATTAAAAATATTAATTATTTTTAAATTTTAAATAAAATGTAAAAAAAAAATCTAAGATAGCTATTTTGTAGAGTAGAATTTAAGAAAAATTTTAGTAAAAAAATATCTTATTAATATTCAGTAGTAAATATTCTGTAGCGTTTTGAAGTTTGTGAAAATTTGAATTTTCATGTACTATTTTACGGTTATAAACATTGAAATACGTATTGAGAAAAGGACAGAAGAAAACGCTATCTTTTCATGATTACTGTGTATACATATGATGATAGTGTGTATACATTACAAACTTGGCATAAATACCATGATAAGAAATTAGATAAGGCAATTATTACTTATCACTCTCATTCAAAAGTATATTGAAAAGATAGCGTTTTCTTCTGTCCTTTTCTCAATACGTATTTCAATGTTTAATACCGTAAAATAGTACATGAAAATTCAAATTTTCACAAACTTCAAAACGCTACAGAATATTTACTACTGAATATTAATAAGATATTTTTTTACTAAAATTTTTCTTAAATTCTACTCTACAAAATAGCTATCTTAGATTTTTTTTTTACATTTTATTTAAAATTTAAAAATAATTAATATTTTTAATAAAATGTAAAAAAATTAATTATTGAGATATAGCTATAGACCTAACGTATAACTATTATTTAAAAAAAAAATCAACTAAAAATATTAACTGGATCAAAAGTTATTTAAGTTGTCAGTGAGTGGTGGGCCACCCTGTATAACTAGATAATAAAATGAAAAATTATCTAATTAAGAATATGACTAATTTTTATAATAATACTACAGAAGTTATTTAAATTATGTTTAAAAATTATGTTGACAGTAATATAAGATATAAAGGATGAGTTAAAAAAATTATTCATAAATTAAGAAATAAATAAAAAAATACCAAAAAACATTCTTAACGAAATTAGTATTTAAAAAAAAATAGATTGTTTAAGAGTAATAGTAATTACAAACTAGTAGTTATTAAAATATTCACTCTGTACTTATTTACTTTAATTTATCATCGGCCATTAGTAGCTGGAGCATTTTTTTTTTTTAGGAAATGGCATGCCCATTTCTTTTAACATAATTATTAAATTGATATTTAAATGTGTAAAATATTTCTAACAATTACTAAACTTTTTGTTAATTAATTAATTTTTAATGGGTAGTGATTGAATTGGTAATTATCCCCTTTCCTATATGTTTATAGCACTTGGCCTAAAGTATAAAAAAAGAATTTAAATAAAAAATAACAAAAACTCAAAAATATTGATGATTTTTACGACAAAGTAATAATTTAATCTAACTTATATGTAAACATAAATGAATGACTTTGTATACATTTAATGTATGGTGATTTACATAAAGTCTAATTTAGTGGTTTTTGAGTTTTCAGTAGCTTTTTTCCGAGTCTGCAAAAATGCATTGCCTTTTATACCAACATAACCCGGTCTCTATTATAAAACAATTTAAGTTAATTTTTTAATTTTCAGAAAATAAAAATATATTCAATATTGTATAATTAACAATAAAAGGGTGATTTTTTTAAACTTAATTATCACAAGAGAATTAAAAATTAATTTCAATAATAATTAAAATAATGTCATAGAAAATATCAATTTCCTTAAAAAATTTAAAATTTTGACTAACACCATGTTTATTGTATAGACGACGGTGCATAGCTCTTATTGGGAATTTGAATTTTATTATACAATAGGCTTTAATAATAAAAATTTGTAAGATTTGAATTTCTTAACGACATTTATAGTAAATAAAATATAATAAAAAAATGAGTCAACATTTTGAATAAAACTTAAAAATGAGAATAGTAGTAAGGCGACAAGTATTCAGTTATAAAATTAACGTAAAAAAATCCTACAACATCGGAGCGACGTCGTATTTTAGTAGGGGGTGCTTGAGTGCGCTGCCCTCGCCTTGAGATCTGTAATAAAAACTTCGGCGCCACCCGTTTCTACCGTCCCTTTAAGGCTATAAGGGCGGATACCCTCGACCATGATAGACCGTGTAGTAACGCTTGGCGACGGTTGTTCAACGATGTGAAGGAGGGGTAGGGAAGTAAGGGACAAGATGGGTTGGGATGGTGGAAAAACGATAGTATAGAGCGAACCACGGACTGAATGTGGCGTGTGCATGTGTAGTATGCTTTGCGGCGCCGTTAACGTTGCTAGCGAGAAGTCGCACAAATACTCTAAAATTTAAGGTTTTTGATCGATTCTTGGCATTAAATTTAAAAAAAGACTTTATTATGCAGTGTAAATGTACGCGTAAAAAATATAATACATCTCCGTTATTAAGTTTTTGTGTACATGTATATTACCGTTGAAATAAAAACTATCTTTAATGATTTTTTTATATATTTTTTTTACGTTTCTTTGTATTTAAATGTATTTAAACTATAGTGGAAATATTTGTTGAAACTGAATTTTTTTTTTATTCTATAATACTAAAATATATTATTGATATACACTGACCGAATATTGATAATTTTAGTTGGGAAACCGCGTGGATTGTTATTCTTCAGAACTTCAAGAGTAAGTGTTTTGTAATAAGGATAGTAATTAAAATACATATTAAAAGATTAGGTATATTTTTATTTTGTAATTCTATATGTAAATTTATAAGTACCAACGTGTATAATAAAATAGGTATGCAACTAATATTAAAACAATGCTATGTACAATCCATTGATCACAAATTATTTTCAAATACATCTTAAATTTGTTGTGTTAAAAATTAAATAATTCGCACAACTAACGAGCGACATAAGTTCCAAAATGTGTTACATAATTTAACTTAAATAAAAATTTGAATTATTTTTGTTATTTGAATTTTATGCTTTTTTTCTAATTTATCGACCAATTAACTATTATCATTATTTTACTCTAAAGTAAAATTTCTATAATATAATGTAAAATTATTTCACTATAAAAATGTATAATTTAAAGTTTATAAATAAAGTAAAAAGGTACATAGTTTTTTGAATTAATTTATTTGGTTATTATCTAAATGATATCAGCTTCCCTTATCACAACTCATAATCTTTATGAAATTCACAGCGTATTGCTCTTTACCAATTGATTTTCACGCATTATTAATATCAAATAGTATTCATTATCATATGTTTTCAACATTTTGTTATTTTTTACTTTTGAAATAAAATATTTGATTCAAAAGTAGAATCATTTTTCAATATAAAATAATAATAAAAAAAACATTTACATTTTAAAAGCTATTAAAATATAATTCTTTTAACCATTGGATTAATTATATTAACATAGACCGATGGTTTTACTTTATAGCTATAGCAAAAAGTATTGAAGTAAGGTTTTTCTTAAATAAAATTAGATAAATAGATAAACTTAATTAAATTGGTACAAATAGAGCGCAAAATTACATTTTACACTTGGATGCTTTTGGCATTGTTAAATGCAAAGATCTAAGATGTGTAGGCATGCAATAATTGGATGTACAGACAATCAAGAGTTTAAAGACTTTAGTGAACAATATACATTATTTCTTTGAATGTAAGAATCCTTCGATGAACATTGTCAATGATAGTAATCTTCTTACATTTACTGTTTTTAATTTTTATTTTATTAACATTAGACTTACACATCGAAAAATTGAGAAATCGTCTATTATTAAAAACTCAAAAGCAGTCGCCAATGAAAATGTTTATTTGACAATTTTATATTTTATTTTAAACAAAATAATATCTTATTTTGACCCGTCGTCTATTTTTTTCACGTTACGGTTTTAATTATATTATTGAGAAAAATTTTGATTAGATTGTCATTAGAATCGCGAACGGGTAGCATCTAATTTAGAAATAGCATGTTTTTAAGGGCATATAGGTACACCGTAATAATATACTATCATTAGCGAAGTTGATTGAGCAATTTTATTCATAAATAAATCACTGATGGTGCTGTTGCTCTACTAATTAAATTTGCAATGGATTATATCTTTTTAAGTTCCAAAATCGGTTAATTTCTTCAAACAATTTTATTTTGACTTAACTTTATTGAGTTTATATCTAATTATAAACACGTTCATAAACACGTATATTTACGTTTTTAGAGATTTATAACTACTAAAATTTAACACAAAAAGGGCGTCTGCGTGAGTATATATAATTATAATAAAAAAATGCAATTGCCTTTGGTAATTTTTAATAGTTAAAATCAATACTAAACAACGTCGGAGCATATGGTTTTTTATTAATTTGTTATAACTTGATTATCAAATTAACTTGACTGTAGTTGAATTACTTAAAAATTATCTGAAAAACAACTATTATAGAATATACTATATATAATATTTAAGTTGATAAAATTTTATATAATAATATATTAAAATTAGTATTGTAAGTTACACATATCTAAATATTACATATCACATATTTTTTGATCATAGGAAATTTTTATCAAAAATGGAATTTTAATAAAATAGATGTATATTGTTTTTATGGTATTTTTTAAAATAGTTGGTTGATAATAATATTTACCATTAGTCATAATTAGATTATTATTATTAGTCACAATTATGCGCACCTAAAAAGTTTAAAACTGTATGTATTCAATCATAAAAAAATAGTTGAAATAACCATTAAATTATGTTATTAAAATTAATAAAACTTACAAAAAATATCATATAACTAATAATGCTTTATGAAGTTGTATGCAAAATAAAATAACTTAATTTAAATTCCACGTAAAGTTAGGGCTACTTAAGCGTTAGATTTAGTTTTAGTTCTTCTACTTTTAGAGAGAATTTAATACCTTTTATATTTTATTCTGGATTCACTATTATATTTTTATATTTATTATTATTTAATAGAAATACGTTTTAATCAAGGAAGTTATATTTTCTTCGTGTTACTTTTTATGAAATCCCAACACACCCAATTACTTACAAAATAAAGTATATTGGAAATTTTTTTTTGCTTTCTTAGTTTCAAGTATTTTTTTGAGTTATTTCTTATTTTATAATGGTGTCAATAATATTTTTTTATTGGTAGTATATATATTTAACTTGTTTATAAAAAAGAAAATGATCAAATTAAGAAATTGGATGATTTAATTTTTAAGCAGTATTTCGGAAGCTATTATCATTTTAAACTATAGATTATTGGTGAGAAACTGGCTTTGAATATTTTGAAGTTTTACATTTTTTTTTTACTTTGCAAAAAGAGGCCGAGAAATGTCTAATGATATATATATATATATTAAATAAATGAAAATAGTAAATTAAGCTCTTAAATAAAAATGTTCAATTTTTCCAAAATGTTTGTATGTCTTTGTAAAAATTTCTTGAAAAATTCTACAATATTAAATTTTTGTGAATTTCATATCACTAATTAAAATAGATTAGAGACAATTTCGTTTTTAGTGAAGAAAAATTATACACATTATTTGTATAGAGCTAATTACTCCAAAGATTAAATAAATTATTAGTTCAATAATTCATTTTATCTATGTTTTGTTATAAAATTAATGTACAGGAAATTTCGATGAAAATAAAAAAGATTACACAATGATTATACAATAAATGTACAACATGACGAACAATGTTACAATAGATATACACAAACCACGATGGGTGTAATGTGCAATATGGCTGCGAAGATGAAAAATTGTTTAGTTTCAAAGACAGAATAGACATAAGAAAAAATACATTTTTATTTTATCAATTTGATGGTTGAATCATTGTTTCTAAATGATCATAAATGAGTATTATCGTACTCTATTCCATTGCTATAAGAAGCATAGTGTTTAGCATACAGGATAAAAACAATACCCTCTTTGTTTTGTGTCAACATCTGTGTACACGTTGGTCGTTTATCATTGGCAAAAATTGTATAAATTTATAATACAACTCTTTTTTTTTAATTTCATTTATTATTGTTTACATTTTTTTTTGTTTTAAAGATTTTCAACTTTTTTTTTTTAACGGCTGTAAAATAATTATGCAGAATAATTTCTATTCTGTTAACTTTGATTTCCTCGCCACTTATTATTTGACACCGTCCCGCGACACTTCGTGATACACGGCCACGCTACTTTTGTCAGCCGTCGCCCAACTACGTGTTTATGGTAGTTTGATTAACAAATGCCACGGTACAAAGTCCAGAAAGTACCACACGACCGAGGACGCTCGCCGCAAATGTACGTTGAAGTCGTCTTCGTGATACCGTCTGTGTGAACCTATTTTTCTTTAATAATCTGTAGTAATACAGCTGGCTATTCAACGCGACATATTGAACGGTGCCATTATTGCAGGACATGCACGTTGTGGATTTAGTCAATGACTAAATGGAATGACCTTGTTACCTTTTATTTAATACCGATAACGCTAAGACAGTGCGCACTAGCTAGTTGAGATGTTCTAGTGACTCATTGGTCATACTGCGTCGGTAAATTCCGACGGATATTTCGATTTTCAATCTAAATATCAAGGATGGAGTCATCTGGAGTTTAGGCGATGACCAACCATTTAGACGGATCATCGTCTATGCCATTTGTTTTCATTAGCTGGGGATCAAAGAAAATTTAGAAGCCAAAAACAGTTGAGCTATCTTGACTAAGATAGCATGATAAGACCACCAACTGTCTAACTGTCTAGTAGCTAAATGCTACTAGATTGCTACACCTCAAATGTTTGGGAGGACGTTGACGTCCTGAGATCGGGACACGACATGTTATATCAAATTGTCGTGAATATTTGTTATACTTATAATCATTAAATATGTATAAGTAAAAAATCGATTTTAACTTTTATAACTTAAATATTCTACATGATATATATTTTTTTTCAAACTCACTTAATAATGGGTTGTTGAAGACTTCATTGCATTACTTTGATGAATTTCTTTAAAATCTGTAGTATTAAAATAAATTATCTTTCTTGTATCAATTTAATCTGAAACATTTTAGTGTCATTCATGAATTGTTGAAATATATTGTTAATTTAGTTTACGGTATCACACGATTTTATTCGTCTCATAAAACTTTACTTTGGATAATGTTACTCATTTATGTATATTTTTTATGGACATGGACATTTGAGATTTGCTTAGACGCATATTAATGTTGTTGTGTTTAAATAACCATAATATTTTAGAAAAACCTTCGGAGTGTAAAACATAAAAAATGTTATTATTACAATAAAAGAAAACGGCAATGGTATTTTCTATGAATTATGAGTATTATTAACATTTTTATGCAAAGTAAAAGAAAAAGTGACAAAAACAGTAAAGTAGTATAATTATTTATTGTTTAATGATCTGTATTACCTATTAATATCTTTTAAAATCACCTAATATTTTAAAATATTTTTTATTACGACATGAGTTATTTAAATAAAAAAAACATGAGTCATGTTTAATTTATTATTTTAAATTTACTTTTTGATGTAATACAAAATGGATAAAAGTATATATTTATATTTTTTAAAAATCAAATAACTAAAAAAAATTATTAGTGTAAAATTTAAATGATTCTGAAATATTTATAGACAGAATACGTACATT